TATATATACTGTATATTTGTTGCTCCATCCATGCTAAAATGTCCCTGTCTCTTTTGGCAGGTGGCCAGCTTCCAGGAGCTACTGAGCAAGCTCACCCACAGCTGCCCGCGGATCTCCAGGATGCGCCTCCACTTTGACTGGTCAGATCTGTCCGTGTCMCTGCTCACTCAGTTCCAGCAGCTGCGAAGCCTCGAGTTAAAATACTTTTGGGTCTTCAAGCTCGTGACTCCCTCCACACTGCTGACGCTAACCAAATCCCTCCCTAACCTGAAGTCCCTGACTTTACACATCCTGGTTCCACACAGGAACCTGGGGATCTCCTACACGCTGGAGTCTCAGAGTCTGGAGTTCCTAGACGTCTCGCCCAGCCAAGGCCTGGTCTTCTCCCGCCTGAAGCTGCCCGCTCTGCGGGAGCTTCGGGCAAAGAAGATAGTTCGCGGCATTACGCTGGACCGGAGGACCAGGCTCCGCATCCAGAGCCGGTGGCCGTGCTTGTACCACGTCCTCTGGGAGGGGACACCGAAGCTTCAGGCCCTAAACAACGAGAGGCTCCTTCCTACGTGGAGAGAGAGCTGCTCCGAGGAGCTGACCGCCATCTTGGGACAGTCCTGTTACTGTGTTCAGCATCTAGACAGCTGGCTTTGGTAGTCAGCTGACAATAAGTGACCATCTGCTCACTGCTGGGTAAATTCCAGGAGAGAAAAAAAAGCAAGTTTTTGCTTTTTAACGCTTTGATTTTAATGAACGTGTTCCCCAGAAGGACACAAAGAAGTAGCTCATTGATACAGAGAAACAGACATTTGMCTGCAGGCACAGTCTGGTTCCTTATCAGGAATCTGCTGTTACAGTGAGAACTACAATCTGCAAAAGACAGAAAGTTTGTCTTTTCTTTTTTTTGACTGCAAAAATTGCTTCGTAATAATTCCAATGACCTAATATACTCGTTACCCAGTGTAAAGAGTAAATTTTAAGTCTTTAAAATCGTTTCAAGAGGGGCAGCATTTGTCCGAAACAGTTGAGAATAAAGGCAAACTATTTTCAGAATAACGTTGGCAAATATAGGAGAAATGATTGTCTCCACTTTTCACTCAGCACTTATTATTAAAAAAAACATTTAATTAATAAAAAGCACTGTTTCAAAATTGGCTTGGTGCAGTTTTGCTGAAGCTTAAATTTATTTTCAGAAAGCAAATTAGTGAGGTGTGAAAGCAGGTGTTCAACGGCACTCAGTGCAAAACATGGAATGAAATATAAAAACAATCCTGAACTATATTTGAAAGAGCTTACCCCTGATTTCCAGAAATATTTTAGAAATGTTTTGGAATGCAGGTCCACCCTTAATGTAAACAGAACATTCTGATGCATTCGGTGTAAACCATGGCCTACATTAGACTGGCGGTGATCTGTGTAGGTAAACAAACATGATTGAAATAGAATGAAACTCCTGCTAAACCCAGAAAAAGAAAAGCAACAGTTCAGACATCTGTCAAAAATAAATATCAGGGATCAAGCAGGACATCGGAGCAACATAAAGACTGCTCTGCATTCAAACATGCAGCTTTGGTGAAACTGCTCCATCAGTCAGTTTGACCTGTTTTTAGTCATTTCAGCTGTTTTTGTAGGTAAACAAGCACAGCTGGTGGTCGGCATAAAATAAAAATACAACTTTCCAGTCAAAACATAAATAAATTATTACTACAACTTTAACCATAAAGCATAAAAACAAACATTGTTTTGTTCTAGATTTATTGAACTTAAACCTAAACTGCCTTTTTCATGGCATCTATATTTTTTGCAATGCAACCATTCTGTTTCTAAAATATTTTGCCTTTCTTCTCTGTGTCAGATTATCTTGAAAAATGCATCTCTTTGGAAAATGACCTGTACTGTAATGTAAACTGAGCTAATGCGCTTTGATTAACTCGTTGAATTCACTTGTATTTATTGTTGGAGACAAACAGCGGCTGTTTCTATCTGATGCCGAAACTGTAGAGAAATGAAGAAATTTGCACAGAAGTTATGAGGATCAGGTTAATTCTAGTAAATATTCAAAACTGAACATTCCGGTGGAAAATATTCTAAAGAAGAAAAATGTTGTGAAGAGTCTGTATCGGAATAATGAAGCTCTTTGTTTGAAAATTAGCTGAAAACTGAAGCTGTAGTCGTGTTTTTGCGTCCAGACGCTCGGCGTTAAGCTGCTTTAAGTCCAATCACAGCCGGCCAGGAATGTGAAAAACCAGCTGGATCGTATTGTTTGATTCTACGGTGCTCGTTTTAGTTAGTCTGGTTTTATGCTGCGTGAAGTGTCTCTTTAGGCAAACGGAGGTTATGAAATATTTGACATGTTGATGTGAAGCAATCCTGCAGCTTTAAATGAACTTTTTTTGCACATTCCCATTGCTGTCGTGGAAGGTTGCTGCTCAGATCCTGACCGGCTGAACTCCAGCTGATGCTTTGAGAAATGGTTGCAGATGTCCTCCTGACCAGCAGAGGTCTCTGTTTGCAAAGATTTGGTTTCTCTCAGGCACAGATTGACTRACGGATGCTTTTGAGTATTTAAACGCGTGAGATTTTTTTGACATTTAGATTTTTTTACTCTGCTGTCATTAGGTTTCCATGTTTGCTGTGCACGCAGTTGTCACCTTCAGGTTTATGGGATGACTTAACTGACAACCAATTTCCTGTTTGTGAGGGTTTAATGTCCTCAACACGAGCAGGAAGCACTGACACACGTTGTACCTTCTGGTCCACTTGTTTCTCATAATAAAAAAAACATCATTGACAGTTTGGGATTTTTGTTTTTCTTAGAGACTTCCAGTTTTTCTAGGTTTTATCTTCACTTTGGGGAACGTTCAAGWGTGCGAAACCCAAACATGTTCTCAGACGTGTTGTGAAATCACTTCTCCACCTGCGTCCAGCCACACTGCAAGGTTTTCTGMGTAAACAACCACCTCTTGCCTATTTGTATCCCTGCATTTTCTTGAAGTGAGGAATGTGAGTGCGTTCGGGGTGGTGATGATGATGATGGTCGTGGTTCCCTTGAGGATGAGCTTTTTCAGCCAACTCGATGATTCTCTCTCCTTTTTTTCTTTTTTTTGGTTGTTTTTCTCCACCTCTTTCCTCCAGCCCCCCTTCAGCAGTCCTCTTTCCCTTTATAACTCCCGTCCGCTTGGAGTTTGTCAAACTTACAGGGTCTGTGTGTGGATGCAAATCTTTGGACGCCCCCACCCCGCGCTGCGAGGAATACCCGTGGATGCCGGCAGTTTCATCGGAGCGGGGTGATGTGGTGTCTTATGGAACGCCCAAGTTTCGATTCTAATTGTTCCCGCAGTTTGTAAACAGGAGATGCGAGGACGAGTGTGATGGGTCGGAGAGCACAGCGTGAAGATTGAGCTCTCCCTGAGGTTGACCTAAACCGTGAATTAGTGGCGAGCACCAACTAACCGCCTCCAGATGTGTGAGAGCTCCGCCTGACTACAATAAACATCGCCCTCTTCACACTTCAGCGTTTACTCTTTGCTCTTTTGGCAGTGCCCAAGTTAATGCTTAATCCAGGCTATTGCTCAGACCAAGCCCTGTTTAAGAGGGAAGGGTAACGTGGATGTCTGCAGATCGCAGGCAGATTCTCCCCGAGGATCATCTCCAAGAAGAGGAGCCTTCAGGGCCAACCACAGGAAGCTGCCACCATGCCCAACAAAGCCGGCTTGTCCAAAGGCTTGGCCGTCGTCTTCGGCATCCTGACGGTCTCCGCCATCGCCGGCATGATCTCCATGATAATCGTGTTCGAGGTCGAGACCGCCGGCCTGAACATGACGGCCCGTCCCACCATAACCACCACCACCGTGAACCCGCCGGTGAACATGAGGCTGCCCAGGAACCTGGTGCCCGAAAGCTACCGCATCGAAATCCAGCTCCACCTCTACACCAGGATCGTGGAGGAGGTGAACGTCACGACCCCCAACCAGACGCTGCTCTTCACCGGGAACTCCACCGTCAGGTTTTACTGCGACCAAGCCACCAGTCACATCTACCTCCACACCAGAGACCAGACGCTCGCTGACCCGCGCGTGACCAACGCGGACACGGGTGACATCATCGACGTCGCCGACATGTCCGTGGATTCTGAGAGTGACTTCTTGGTGATCGAGCTAAAGGAGAGTTTAAAGACAGGAGGGAACTACAGTTTGTTTCTGTCATTTCAGGGAAATATTTCAGAGAATCTTCAAACACTGTATGTGAGTCAGTATACTGAAACTGACCTGTCTGTTGAAAATAAAACGATCGGAGAGAGGTAAGTTCAAATTTCACCGTATTTAATAACATTCTCCACGAAATGTTGACACTATGTCTTCAGGATGCACACGGAATGTGAAAGAACTTTTCATTATTATATTCAGGTGGATATAAATGAAAAAAAAAATGTATTAGCAGAAAAGTATTTTTTAAAAACAACTCAAGTGAAATTCATTTTACTCTTTGAGGTTTCTACAAAGAAGGTTTTGAGAAACTTAAAACTTTTCTCTAAAGAAAAAAAAACTGAATAAGTTATCCTCATATGAGAAGTTAAACTATTGTAAAATTTCAGTTGCTTTCAAAATTTAAAAGGATATATTTGTCAAGCTGGTGTCGAATTTTCAAAATAAAAGCATGAATTGGCTTCAGGTTTGAATCTGTCAATGACAACATGACAAGAAAAACAAATATAATTTTAATGTTGTAACTTGTTATATCAGTTAAATATAAAAACCAATAAAATCCAGTCAAGATGCTCTTGTTTTAGGGAATATTTAAAATGAATAAATGCGACTGTATGAGACAAATAGTTCCCTAAAACTGACTAAACTTCTGTGTAACTTTAAAGTCATTTCATTTATGTTTTTATTTATTAAACATTGATTAAAAATCAAAATGTTTCATGGAAGCAAATAGAGATAAATGATTGAAATAATAATATAAAGCATTTCATTTAGTTTTATAGTTCGTCATACAGTTTTAAATGCCAGTAATGCTTGTATTTTTCTGATGGACTGTAAAAAGTCCCTGATAATAATAAACTTAAACATAATGGATTTAATTTAAAAAATGATTTCAACTGGTTCCACTGAATTGAATTAACACATTTACTTTAAAACTTTATGTTAACTTTACATTTACTGTAAAGTGCATGTGTTATGTTCATGTATTTTTCAACATTAAATCCATTATATCTGTTTTTTGAGTGCATGTTTTGGACTAGTCTCTTGGCTTGTTGTTCAAATGACTCTTTAGGGGTAAAAATCGAAGCCAGCAGCAGTAATTTATTGTTTCTGTTCTCACAGATTCCTTGCAGCAACAAATTTGGAGCCAACAAGCGCGAGAAGCTTGTTTCCTTGTTTTGATGAGCCGGACATGAAGGCCGAGTTTTTACTGAAACTCTATCACAGGCGTGGCACGAARGCTCTGTCCAACGCGAAGGCATTCAGTAAGAAATACACCAGAAATATGGAGCCGCTTGCCTCAATGTTTTWGACTAAATGTGACATTCTGACTCTTTTTGTCCTTTCTCATATTTCTCTCCCAGGGAAAAATCAAATTATAGACGACGAATGGGTTTTCACTGAATTTGAACGGTCACCAAGGATGTCGACCTACTTGTTTGTTTTCACGGTTTCCGAATTCACGTCAACTGTTTCCCCAATTAATTCAAAAATAGAAGTAAGTTCACATGAGATTTGTTTGCAAAATCACTCAGGGCAATGTGCAAAACATGTGTCACTTTAAAATGTATTACCAGGTAAAACAGATTTTTCACGTAAAAAGTTAGTTTTTGTTTTAAATTCATTAAGGGAAACATGAAAAATATGTGTTTATGTTTCACATTAATTTAACATTTTCTAGTTTATGTGAATTTTCATTAAGTGTTCTAAAGTTCTGTTTGATTAAACAGCAAAAGTTTCTAAAAATATATATTTTTGATGCAATAATCGTGTTTCTCGTGCAGGTTTTTGCTCGTCCTGAAGCCACTGAAGCAGGCCATACTAAATATGCCACTGAAATTACCCCAAAGATCCTGGACTTCTACGAAAATCATTTAGATCTTAAATATGATCAAAGGAACCTCTGTAAGACCTTGCCTGGCTTTATTCTTATGTTAAATATTAAATAAAGTTMAATTTTGTTGTTTCCTTTCAAACCTGTGGATTTCTGAGCGTTACCATTATGTGATGCTTAATTAAATAATTTAATTGGATTCTTTTAGATCAAATTGCTCTCCCAGACCTGGACGCGGTGGCAATGGAGAACTGGGGGTTGGTCACGTACCAGGAAGGAGTTTTGCTCTACGAGGAAGGGGTGTCATCATGGTTACATAAGGAAGAAATCGTTTCTACCATTGCACATGAGCTGGCTCACCAGGTAACAAGAAACAAATCTGTTTTCCTGAAATGAGATCGATTTTATGATCTTTTGGGTCACACAGCTGACTTTGCAGCATAAAAATCATACAGTTCATCATGTTGATGGTTCGTTTCTGCTCTAACAGTGGTTTGGAAATATGGTGACGATGAAATGGTGGAACGATCTTTGGCTGAACGAGGGCTTCTCCTCCTACATGTCGTACTTCGCTGTGGACAAGGCTGAGCCCACGTTCCACATAGTAAGTTCAGACTGGAGGTCGTTCACATTCAGCACATTATTCTGAAAGTCCAGCACAAGTTATTTGTCTAAGGAAYACAGCAGATTGATAGCTGAAAATTCTGCCTCTTTCTGTTTTTAAAAACTCTAGGCACCACAAGGAAACCAGCAGTCTTAGAGCATTTTTTTTTCAATTTCTTTATTCATTTCATTAAAACAAAACAAATAATTGTATATACAATATACAATAAAAAGAAAAATGAGAGAAAAAATATACATATACAGTATGTATATCAAAATCACAAATAAAATGAAATGAAATGAAAGGCAGCAGAGAGAAGAAAAAAATCTTATATCTGTCTCTTTTTTCCCAAGAATAATTTCATATAACAAAAAAATCTGTTATTAACAAAACAAAAGACAAGAACATCTAATCCCTCTAGAACAACAATTTATATAAATACACCTTATACTGTTTCGTATTTCTTTAACAATCCAACTTTTATCATTTCCTTAAACGTTCACAGTGARCCTGCATTTTTTACATCACTTCCCAAATTATTCCATAGTTTTATTCCTTGAATTAAAGTACACCGTTCCTTCAAACTAGTTCTGAAATATCTCTGTCCCTTTAAGTTTATAACAACTGTTTCTATTAACAAAATTTACTTGGATGTTTAAAGGTAATGTGTTTTTGTGGGCCTTATACATAACCTGTAGAATATTATAATCAACCAAATCAAAGAACTTCAATATTTTCAATTTACAAAKTAATGAATTTGATGGGTGACGACAATGTTTTCAGTAATAATTCTCACTCACTAATAACTCTCAGCTTTGTGCTCTGTTAGTAAAACATGGAACAATAGGGTCTTTAAAGGTGCAGTAGGTATCTTTTATTAATTTTTTTTTAATAATGGTTAAAACTGTCACTACGTATGTCCTGACAGTAGAATATGAGAGATAATCTGAGTTATTCAGTGTAAACCCACTGTTTTCTCCCACTTGCAGCTTTAATATTATTAGATGGAGTTTGATTGTTGAGAGTGTTATATGTGGAAACTTGTTCATGGATAATGTCTTTGTGGATTTAGTTATTCCAGTAACTTTAAAGTCTTTAGAAAGTAACTATTGTTTTACCCACGGGGCTCCCTTTAATCCTGACAGAAAAGGACTCTCAGGTATTTGACCTTTAGGCAGGATCTGATCATTTTTGCAAACTTTGAACTTGTCAGAACTGAGGACTCTTCTTACAATGCCCACAGGTTAATGAATGATCATTTCCAACATCAGATATGTCTCATGTCTGTGTTTCCATGTTGATCTGAGTTATTGCTCTGTTTACAGACACCGTCATACAGGCAGCTGCACACATTTTTGTTTTGAGGCCTCATTGATAACGCTCGGTTAGTTTAGTTTAGTTTATTCATTTCTTTAAAAACAACAACACAAATTCAACATATAACCAAAATACAAGTCATAAATTAAATGAAAGGTATCAGAAGAAGAAAAAATCTTATTATATCTGCCCCTTTTTTTTTCAAATAACTAAAGTCAATCAAAAATAATCTTTAGTTTACAAAAAAGAAAAGAAAAAGAAAATAATAAAGGTTTAACTCCTTGAACAACAATTCATACATTTACATATTTCTCCAGCAAATTAACCTTTATCATTCTCTTAAATATAATTATTAAATTATGGAATAGTCTGGAGGATAACGTTAAAAAAGCCAGATCAATGTGTATATTTAAGAAAATGATAAAGGTAAATCTGTTGGAGAAATATGTATGAGTATAAGGCATGAATTGTTACTCAAGAAGGAATTAAACCTTTATATTTTTTCTTTCATTTTTTTGTACGTTGTAAATTTAAGTTTTTTTTTTCAATTGAATTTATTTAAGAAAAAGGGGGCAGAAATCATAAGGTTCTTTCCTTCTTCTGCTACCTTTCATTTAATTTTATTTGTTGTATMTAGAATTTATGTTGTTCAGTTTTAAATGAATAAACTTTATAATAATAATAATTAAAGATAATAATTCAGATTCTGTCATTTTCCTAAAGGTTTTCATGAATTCTGTTCAATTTTAGCGAAAAAAACAATATAAATTGTTGCTAGAACTTTTACTTAAGCTTGTGTTTGATCTTTATTTCTTGTTTTAGAAAGAAATATTAATRATGAGAGACCTCCACACAGCGTTCGAAGAAGATGCTCTGAACTCATCCCATCCTCTCAGCGTTCCGCTTCAACAAATCCAGACATCGTCTCACATCCTCGAGATGTTTGATGCCATCACGTACTGCAAGGTAAGATGTCAAAGCAGGCTCAGTGACCACAGGATTTGGGTTTTATACTCCAGTGTTTAAGTTGGGTTGCGGTGGCTCAATGATCAGAGCTGCAGTCGCGTTATCCTGAGGTTGCGGGTTCAAGCACAGGTTGTGTCAGAAAACCAAAGTCTTTCAGGGGGGTTTGCTCGCTGTGGCGACCCCTGCAGAAGGAAGCKGCCTGAAGACAAAGCAAATGTTTGAACTCGTTTTCTCCACATGWGAACATGAGTTCTGCTTATGATTATGGTGTGTTTTGTGTTTCCTCTGCAGGGGGCAATGGTGCTGAGAATGCTGGAACGCATCGTGGGAGAAGAGTCTTTCATCAAAGGAATCAGAGTAAGTTTCTGAATCCACGTCGAGCTGCAATCCTTATAAATACCTCCAACATGTCTGTGCAGATACTCCCTGTGATCCAGAGCTAAAGGTGACCTCTGACCTCATAACYCACACTTTCAGTTTTAGCATTAAAGCTAAAAGGACTGGAAGCATGAGAAAATGCATACCTTTCAAACAAATTGCTGAGCAACATGAGTTACATCATGGGTGGAGAAGAAAATCACCATAACCGTCAAATTTGATACTTTATGACATTTAAACGTCCAATTAGAGTCCTTTTGATCGTCTGCGTGTCTGCTTCCGTTCTGCAACCAAAGTCTCACAGAGCACACAAACATTTGGTCATGCCTCCTCCAAGTCTGAGGAGAAGATGAAGGGAGATGATTTTTTTTTAGCAACAACTGGTGCCAAAAATGTCAAACTCAATGAACTCTCAGAAATACTCAAAATAAGTTTACAAGTTTAGCTTTTAAATAAAATTGAGTAAAATTGAGCTTTTGGCTATGGATTTAGTAAGGTTCTGATCATTTTAGCTGTTAAATACAGTTTTATTCATTTTAGATTTTATATGTTTTATTAATTTTAGCTTTTAGCTGTGGTTTTAGCTTAGAGTTTGTTAGTTTTAGTTGTTAGCTACAGTTTTGTTCCCTTTAGATTTTAGATAGTGTTTTATTAATTTTAGCTTTGAGCTGTGGTTTTAGCTAAGAGTTTGTTAGTTTTAGCTTTTAGCTGTGGTTTTAGCTAAGAGTTTGTTAGTTTTATCAGTTAGCAACAGTTTTGTTCCTTTTAGATTTTAGATGTTGCTTTATTAAGTTTAGCATTTAGCTGTGGTTTTAGCTACGAGTTTCTTAGTTTTAGCTGTTAGCTACAGTTTTGTTCCCTTTAGATTTTGTTTTATTAATTTTAGCTTTTAGCTGTGGTTTTAGCTAAGAGTTTGTTAGTTTCATCAGTTAGATACAGTTTTGTTAAAATTAGCTATTGGATACACATTTGTTAAATTTAGCTTTTAAATACTGTTTTGTTACTTTTAATCTTTAAGCAAGGTTTTACCTACATGTTTTCTAAGTTTGGATAAGGTTTGCTCATGTTATGTTTTAACTATCACATTAGCTACGCTTTTGATACTTTAACTTTCAMTTACAGTTTTGATATTTTAGCTCTTAGCTACATAACTAGCACGATGGCTCAGTGGTTAGCACCGAGGCCTCACAGCAAGAAGGTCCTGGGTTTGATCCCCGGTTCAGACCTGGGGTCTTTCTGTGCAGAGTGTGCATGTTGAGATCTGTGATCTCGATGGGATTCACCTGGTTAAAGAACGATAAAATAAAACATTTTAGTGTCAGTTCATGTTTCAGCAGCAGCAGCATCTCACACTAATAACCATCGTCCTGTTTTTGTGTTTTTCAGGCGTACCTCAAGGCCTTCAAAGGACGAAATGCAGAACAGAACGACATCTGGAACTTCATAGAATATGTAACGTCTTCACTTTAAACAGTATTTTTGACAGATATGTGCAATCAGTGATCATGTGAAGATTTGGACTTTGTGGAYCAAAGTGTCATTGAATTTCTGTTTGCAGACGCGACGGGAGAAAGGTGTTTTCACCGTTAGCACTTTTATGGATGAATGGACCACACAAACAGGCTATCCTGTCGTCACCATCAACACCACCAACGGACAAATCGAACAGAAGCGTTTCCTGTACAACGATTTCACTGATCATAAGTCAGAGTATGTGCTTTTTTTTCAACATGTTTTGTAGTGGCTTTATTAGTAATCAGTATCTTACTTGCAGTAGACAAATTTAATGTATTTTTTTAAAGAGGAGACTTTTAACTCTGTTCCTCGTGACCCACTGTCCTGCATGTTTTAGATGTTTCTCTYCTTCACCACAACTGACTGAAATGAATGAGTGATTGACAGGCTTCTGCTTGGTGATTTAATCATTTGAAGCTAAAACAGGCAGGACTGTGGCTCATGAGGAACAGGGCTCTGAGGGTAAAATACCTTGTCCAGATTATAATAAAAACATCTGCATTTTTTATTTTCCCTCCATGTTTAGTCCTTTGTGGCTCATCCCCATCGAATACATGTCAAACATTTCGAGACCGGAATCCATCTGGATGTCAGAAAAAGGTCCAGGTAACGTGCAGGAACACACAGCTGCACACAACAACAACAGACCCAAGAACAACACATATTTTTTTTTACTCAGCTTCTGTTTAATTGTGATTACAGAGGCTTAACAAGATAAGTGTTAATTAATTTATTATTATACATCTAGAATCTGTTATATTTTAGTTTAAATAGAACAGAAAACAACTAAACTTGAAAACAATAAATTTCTGTCTCTCCATCTGCCTGTCTGTCTTTTATTCCCTCAAGTCTTCAAAAAGCACACAGATGGAGAGAAAAAGACACTGAATTAAAGAAAACCACATGTAAAATGATGTCAGAGGTTCAAAAAGATAGTTTAACTCCCAAGCAGTGAAGCAACAACCAAAGCTTATTTTACTGTGCAGAAATAAGCACAAAAAAACTACATTTATTATTGCAGAGAGGCATGGCCTTGGAGAGGAATCTGACTGAAAATTTTAAACAAAAGTCAAATTTAAGCAACAATAAACAGCCAGACACAGTACATCTGCTTTAGGTTTGCCTGTTTTTCTGCAGCAGGGGAGGGAGTTTAGATCATCCAAACAAAGATATATTTTTACTTTTTTGTAATAAATTAGTATSTTTCTTTGTATACTCATTATGCTTTGCAGTGACTACAAATGTTTTCCACAATTTTTTATTTTTTTGTCCCTTAAAACAGTGAAAATGGAGCAATTTATTGCCAAGAAAGGGGAGTGGATCCTGGCTAACGTCAACTGCACCGGATTCTACCGGGTCAATTACAACCCAGAGAACTGGCATCGCCTCCTGACTCAGCTGGAAACAGACCCAGATGTGAGTAAACCTGGGGCAGAGCACGAGTTAGCACGTAGCAGAGCTACACACAGACCAAAGGAAAAAAATACATTTGAAATAAAAACCGGCTGTAGATTTCTAATAKACAGTAAATATTGCAGTGTTAAATCAACACTTAAAGGGTTAAATTTAACACTGAGTCCGAGTCTTTTTGGTTCTTATCTGAACTGGTGTCAATTTAACTCTTTCCTTGGTGTTAAATTTTCAGAGTAGAATTTAACTCTAAACAGAGTTAAAAATTAACACTGACTAACACTGTACAGTGTTAATAAAACTTAACACTGTACAGTGTTAATAAAACTTAACACTTCAAGTCAAATAAATCTGAGAGTTAATATGATTTAAAGCAGAGTTAATAAGGTACTCCACTGTAGTGACAAATCAACTCTGATTCTCATGCTTTTCAACACTGCATTGAGTTATTGATGTTAACACTGGAGGTTCATATACCTCCTATCAGTGTTAATTTGACACTCAACTGTTGATTATTTACTCTTGCTGAGTAGAGGGGTGCAAAACAGACACTATGAGGTGTCATTACAGTAAAATTTGAAAGTGTAAATTTAACACTTCAGTGTTAAGATCGACTCTTTTTAGTGTTGCATTAACATCACACTGTCGTTATTGGATAAGTGTAATGGAGTCGACCTTCACACACCAGGAAGTAGCTCTCACTCATGGTGTCGATTTATGGCCAATAACACAAACTTAAACTTGATCAACTGATAAACCTGAAGTGAACAACCAGAACAACTCATTTTTACACTCATGAACTTCTTTAATTGTCATAAAAATGCAAAAACATCATTTCTACAAGATTCACTGCATGGTGTTATATAACAACACTGTTAATAAGACTTTACTGTGGGCGGAGCTTAATTAACACTGTCCAGTGTTGAGACAACACTGAGGGAATGAACACCAACACTGGAAGTCAGTTTACTCAAAGTGTTAAATAACACTAGGGGGAGTTAAATTGACTCTGAAAAGTTTAACTGACATTTTAACAGTTTTTTTACTGTGTTGTGTTTACGTGTAAAATCACACTGCAGAACAGGAAATGTCATTTAAAAGATTATGTAATAAAATCAGTTGTTGGGAAGAGGTCTTGTGCTGAACACACAGGAAGTGATGCCTTTTTAATATTGTTTTTACTAACTTACTATTATCTGTAAAACTGGATTGACATGGACTTATAAACAGGAGCTTTGTGGCCCAGACCCACATTCAAGGTTCAGGTCCTGGATTATCTACGGGATGATTTTATGAGCAACAATAAAACCATCCAGTAGTTACAGATTAGATGTTCTTTGTGACGATTCAAAAAAGATAAATAAATAAAGGAAAACAAGTGAAGTTTTAACAGATGAAAAGTTAAACGTGGATTAGTTTTGCTGTGGTCTTTAGTCGTTTAAAAAAAACTTGATAATTTTTAAGATCTTATAATCTTGAGCAGCTGCGGAGATTACAGAAACCAAACAAGATATCAGCTGAATTTAAGAGGGTTACGAAACCAAACAAGCCTCCTGAGGTCTGAATCTGGGTCCTGAATCAAACTGAGCATGTTTATGGTTGTTTAGGTACTTTCAAGACTAAAGTCCTTTAAGGAAGTATGTGAAGAAAAGTGATCAGGAGTTTATTTCATTTGACTAGCCTGACTTCTTTCTTCCTTATTACACATCTCTCCCCTTATGACTATGACTACCATCATTTTTTTTATTGTTGGTGAATAGAAACTCCAGAAGAAACTCCAGATTTAATACAAGATAAAAAGTGTGAAATGACTTTAATCACAAAAACCTGTCAAATAAGTTAGATTAGATCAAAATTTAAGTTTTTATCAAAAGTTGGTATTTTGTTTGTGATTTTATGCCAAACTGTCAAACTTAGCTTTATGTGGGAGCAGAAATTAGTTTTATGTGGGTGGAGCCTAATCAGCTCAGTGGGTGGAGCCTAATCAACTCAGTGGGTGGAGCCTAATCAGGCAAAATGACAAACAAACTTTGTAGCCTGTTTACAGGAGGAGGATGAGATGGCTGTTTGACTTAAATATAAAAAATCTTAATAAATAACTCTTAGTATGGAAATTTTTTATTATTATTATTTTTAGTTTATGTTATGCCTCTAAGCTCCGCCCAGAAACCACCACGTTCTGTTTCTGTGTTGTTTTTTGTTTGTTTGCAAGCCTTTAATGTATGTTTCTGCATTTAGGATGTTTCTTAACAAAACTTTTTTTTTCTCTTTCAGCGTATCCCACTGATGAACAGAGGGCAGCTCATTGACGATGCTTTTAATTTGGCGAGGTGATCATTATATTCATCACAGATATTAAGACAGGAAGTGAAGCTGAAATAGTCAGGCTTTACTTAAGAAATAAATATCGACTCAAGGCTTTCTGTATGTATATATATATATATATATATATATAAAACTGGAAAAATGCAAGTAAAGTTAGTAGAAGTTGCACAAACATCACATGAGTATTTTCAATGATACTTCTTTTATTTGTCTTTGATTTATCAGCATTCTATGTATATGTATTTGATTTTAGAAGATATGAAGTGATGGAGCTCTAACCAAAGTCTGTTTTCTCAGAGCCAAACAGGTCAACGTGACTCTGGCTCTGAATTCAACCCGTTTCCTTCGTAACGAGACGGCGTACCTCCCCTGGGAGTCAGCGGTCAGGAACCTCGACTACTTCCTCCTCATGTTTGACCGCTCTGAGGTGTACGGACTCATGCAGGTTTGTTTCTGTAAAATCTTTACTWGCGTTTGTATTTGGACTTGACTTTGGTCTGTAAGACAGATTTAACTTACTGAATTATATTTCTTGTTTTTAATGTTTAGCCAGTATTAAAAGATAAACAAAAAGATGGGGAGGAAAGATGCTACACATTTCTCTCAGGGTGTGCTGTAAAGCTGCTTGTCTCTGCAGGTGTACCTCCGGGAACAAGTGAGGGAACTTTATAACTTCTTCAAGAACGACACGGACCTTTCCATGGTCCCGGAGGATCACTCCTTACAGTGAGGAAATGTTCATTTTCACAAGTCTGGAGCTGTTAAAACATCTCATTATGTAAAACAAGAATTAACAGATTTACACATTTGCAGAGGGGATGTATTGGCACGATAAAATTTACAACATTAATACTGCTGGTGTGTTTTGGCATTACAGTGAAAATAAAATAAAACTTCCTAATTAAAGCTCGCAAAAGCTGCTGATGTGTTTTTACACTTAAGCAAATTTACAGTAGATAGGCGAATGAGGAAACATTTCGAAAGTATTTTATTATCCTAAATAAATCAATATATGCAACATTTTATGAGCTCTTGTAAATATTTGATTTGGTTTCGCAACAATAACAAAAGAAGTAACTGCAGAAAAAATTAAATAAAAAGATTAGAGAGCCACAGAGTCTGTTTTTATGAATTAGTCCTTAATTAAATGGACTGAATGACTCTAAAGAAATGAGGATTTATAGTTTCTGTTTTTAAATAAAATGTGGTCAAGCCACTAGATAAGACTAAAAGATTTAAATTTGTTTTGTTTTTTTCAATTTCCTGGACAAAAGGTTAATGACAATCTAAAAATATTGAGTAATAAAGAAAAACTTAGACATTATTACTATTGGTGCCAATGTGTTGATCTATAAGAGTGGATAAAACATTTTGTGAGTTTTTGTTTAAGTCTTTAAAACCAGCTTGATTTGAATGACAGGAAATCTGTGTTTTTTTATTTTTAATGAGATTGTTTGTTTGATCTGCAGACACAACCAGATCCTCGCCATAGATCTGGCCTGTTCCAACGGGCTCCTGGACTGCATCGTGATGGCGTCGTCCAAGTTTGCCAGCTGGATGAAAAAGAACAGCACCGTACCCAACAAGTACGCACGGGGATGAGTACCATTTCTGCACCCAACTTTCTGAAACACTCCTTTAATTGCTGTCGGTAACCGCTTTCCTTGCATTCTGTAGCCTTGCTCCTCAGAAATAATTTGGTGAAGGTAGGTTTGTTCTCACTTCTTGTCTTTTGTCGGCAGCTGTTGTGGTTTCCTTTAAAGTTGCACTTATTTGGACTTTTAAGCTTTTTGAAGTTATGCCWAATTAAGATCCTGTGATTGATTGTTAAAGTATTAACCAGTGGTGGGCAGCACTAWTCTAAATATTAGTTGCACTAACCCTAAAGCACTAACTCAAATATTTAAGTCCTCTAATTCTAAAGCACTAACACACTGAAAATAATTAGCAAAAGCTAATTCTAAAGCACTAAAATAACCCAGTTGACACATGAAACATTCTTCAGTCAACATGAGACAATATTTACTGTGTGCAGAATGTTGTCTCTTAGTGCCCTTGTTGGGCCAAATGGGAGTCACCCTCAGGCCAAATTTGGCCCGTGGACCTTGAGTTTGACACGTGACCTTGTAGATACACACATATGAACAAAATGTGTGACAGTTTTCACCCTCAACTGTGAACAATAATGTTGATCAATAACATTTACAGACCTCACTTAGTGCTTCTAAATTTAGCCCATAAATTTAGAAAGTGCTAATCTGCTAATGAATTTAAATAATAGCAAAAAAACCTAAAGCACTAATCAAGAAATTAGTTCCCCTATTAGTGCTTTAGTGCTTTAGGGGAACTGTGCCCACCGCTGGTATTAACCAAAACAGAAAAGCAGCCCTGGTACTTTTACATTTAAAGTTTCTTAGACATATTTTTCCCTTTGATGGAGTATTAGAGCCACACTATGTGATTATTTTATTATTTTTAATTACGAGAAAATGACACGTTCATTTTCAATTCTTGGGTCAGCTCCTGCTGTGGACAGCTTCCAGTGTGTGTCACTGTGTTTATAAAGTATTTGTAGTTACGTTTGGGTCACTAATAGGCTTCCATCCATATTATTTAATGACTAAATCCATAAATGCAGCCGTTAACTGCCATGTGGCTTAAGTTTATCTTTGGAATCCAATAAGTTAAATAACRCCGATACCAAAGTATAACTTCACAACAGTCCTCATTTTAACACAKGAGTTCTCGTAGTAAAGCGGCCTTAATACTCCGTCTACTTCCCAGGTGCAACTTTAAAGTTGTTTTTCTGAAATGTGCTTCTTACTGCATGTGCTGTCGTTCCACGCTTGAAATGATTTGTTTTCTGTTTGCTGCCAAATGCAAAAGGCAGCCATGTTCCTGCCCGTGTTTGYGTGTGCATGTGTTCGTTTMTAGCGTTAGCAAAATATTTCATGAGCCAGTGGATGGACTTTGATGAAACAGGAAGTAATGACTGGAGACAGGACACATGGCTGCAGCTCAGACGTTCTCARAGGTGTGGAGCTAGAATTTGGTGGGTTAAGCTGAGTCATCCCCAATAGAAATTARGTCTTGAACTCTGTAATGATGGACTTTAATAAATATCTCAAAAACGTAATCGATGGGTGTACATCTGCACCTGATCAACCTTTGAAATCCATACAATTCAAAAGCCAAATGGCCTCGCTGAGGCTGATCTTCAGCAAACACTSAGCTCGAACACATTTCACAAGATACCACGATATCGCCTGAGATCAGGCACGATGTCAGTTTCAAGGTTTGATGAAAACAGTTGTAACTCTGGGTGACGTGTGTGAAGTCTTTAGTTGTATCTGTACTTGCTCAAACCTGCATGCATGTGTGACATTGGTGCAGGATTAAAAATATATATAAAAAATCCAGGCCCCTCTGCTTGTTTTTATCTCAACACATTTTGTGATCACACACTCCAACAGGTGGATGACAAACTTGATGTTGAAAATCTATTTGCTGTTTGGTCTGAAGGTGTGCAAAGCAGAAGAAATATGCATCTGATTCATACGACACAGAATCAGTCAAACAGTTAGGATTAAATCAAGATCATGTTATTTAGTTTCAAAATAAGAGACTTAATTTGTCCTTATTTCAGTATTCCTGCTTCTTAGTAATGCTGTATTTACCCTAATTCTCTTCTATGCTTCATTAAAAACCCTGAGTTTTGCTCACAAACATTTATTTCTATAAATGATAAGAAAGAACCACAAAGAATTTAAATCTGTTTTAAGCAAAAGTTTTGTTCCCCACATGCAAAGCTCTGATTTAGCTTCAAATGTAGGAATGTGTGAGAGAAAAAACATTCCTGAAAGTATAAATAGAAACAAATGTTCTGCATGCCTGGGAACAGGAAAGGAAACAAACAGCAGCTCAGTGTTAACAAAAGAAGGTGGTGAAGTGAAATTGTTTCGTTGTGTTTGTTGATTTTAGCATCCACACCAATCTGCGCTCCGTGATTTACTGCCAAGCCGTGGCCGCTGGAGGGAAGAAAGAGTGGGAGTTCGCCTGGGAGAAGTTCCTAATCTCCACCGACACGTCGGAGAAGGAGCAGCTGCGAAAAGCTCTGTCCTGCTCCAAGAAGACCTGGCTGCTCAACAGGTGAGTAACAACACACGCCCACGATAAGGTGAAGCCCAGTCACGCAGGCGTCCTGAAGGAAACCTTATCTTACAGATACCTGGAGTACACTTTGGACCCGAAGAAGATACGTCTGATGGATGTCGCCTCTACCATTAACTACGTAGCTCAGAACGCTGCTGGACAAGCYCTGGCCTGGAACTTCATCAGAGCGCACTGGGAGTACGTCAGTCAGGGGTAGGTTCTTATTCCAACTGTGTCTCCTTAAGGAGCTTTCTGAGTCGTGAACAAGTTTCCAAAAGACGAAGAAAAACAGAAACTCACTGCTGCAAAGAAGCTAAGGCAGGGCTATTCAGCTAAATCGCTCCGGAGGCCACAGTTACTGCAGCTGAGGGACCGAATTAAAGTCGTCTTGTAAATAAACCAAGTATTACAAAGTTCTGTTACCTTTGAATTAGTTTATTTTGCAGCATTAATCATGAATACATAAAAGTAGTGATAATAAAACAATGTGAAAAACAAGCATCCTAACCCAGGTGTACAGGTGATCTAAGATCCAGGGGTCTCATTTATAAAGGATTGCATGGAAACCATACTAAAAGTGAACGTACGGCCAAAAGGCGGAAATGGCGTACGCCAAAAAAATTCAGATCTATAAAATGGTGTGTACGCATGTTTCTGCGCATCTTTCTTTTATAAATCACAGCCGCACGTCAGAGTTTGCGCATGAGGTCCCTCCTCAGGTTCTACCCTCTACACGCCTACACTCAACCAT